TATATTTTATAATAGTGAATAACTTAATATAATACATACTCGTAAATTATAAAATATTTAATAAATTTAATGTTTAATTCCCGATCAAAATCAAAGAAAGGTTAACAAGTAATATGTGCCTAATCCGATAACAAATAAGAAAATAATTTATTCAAAATGCCATATAAACCTTGATAAGTAGAACACTTTAAATGAATTTAAGCGTGGTAATTTTTAAATAAAATATATGTGACTAATAAGATAATATTGTTATTATAATCGAGGTGCTATAAAAACGGCAACAAATTATCAGAATATTTATAACATTGCACATTTAAGACAATTAAAATGGAATGCTAAAACAATTATATTAATGCATGATTATAACTATTAACATGGAATAATACAACAATTATAATATTTTTTATATTGAAGGAAGACAATATATATAAATTATGGATACCAAATTCTTTATATTAGATATTTTAAAATTAGTTTATAAGTCTAAATAATCATAAAATTATAAAATAATATTTAAATAAGCAACAGATGGCAATGTTATATAAATTAAATCCAATTTAAATATCTACAATCTCATTATGTACAAAGTAATTCCAAAAGGTTTCTCTTTGATTGGTACCGGCAACAGCAACAGCAACAGCAACGTTAAAAGCGAGGCCACTGCTACTGCCACAAACAAGGTCATCCTCAAGTGGGGAATTTGCTGCAACTAAATCACTCTATTCTTAAACCTCTATTTTATATCGTTTCAAAATAAAGCAGTGAAAGCTGAAGACCGCAATGTTCCTATCATGTTTGGCACTATAGATAATAAGTAAACTTAGTACTTATGGTAATGTGTCAATCCACTTCAATTTTTATGGAGAAAATTGAATTTGATCATATATATATGGATATAAGTTTTGATTGGATATAGATATAAGTACAGATAATATTATGATTGAATCAAATATGAAAACGAAAATTAATATATATTTACCTATCTTATATTTGTCTCATTTTAAATTTCTAGAAATTTAATTTAATTTTTTTATAATTTTTTTAGTATTTATGTAATTTTTACTTTATTTTAAATTTATTTAAAATAAAACTAATTAAAAATTTTGTAATTACTACTTCGTGTTAAAAAATTTCATATATTTTTTGCAAAAAAAAAAAATTATTAATCTTTGAATGGATACGAGGCGATCAGGTACACTTAATATTGGACATGAACGGGAATGAGACATAAGCTTTGTACCCATTAAATATGAGGATAAAGATGAGTATAAGGTACAAGAATGGAGACGGAGACAAGAATATTGAAACTCGTATTCACTACCCCACTCCGTTGTCATTCCTATTTAACACAATATAAATTAGAAATTTCTCTCCTCACAAATCCTACACTCAAATGAATGGTGTAATCTTGTAAGTATCGCATTCAAAGAATTACTCTGGATAAACAAAATTATCAAAAAGTAATTCAAATATTATATGTCTAGGTAAAATAAAATTTAACATTAAAAGAAAAGATATATGATTGGATACTTAGTTGTCTTTTATTTCAAGTTTCTTGACCATATAAACGTGTTGGGATTAAGAGCAACATAGTCAAAGTTTAATCACATGATCGTGAGTTGCAGTTATAGTGTCACAGAAAGAGTTTTCCTGAAGTCTCATGATGGACACCAAAATGTCCTAGTATGGAACTTCCTCTAAAAATACCTGATGGTTATTCCAATCTAGGACATTCAATGAGTATAAGATTTATTTTCTTTTAAGCTTAAAAGTCTCTCTATATTCACTAAGACGATAATATTATATTATATACGTGAATTCCTTATTTCCTTATATATTTCTATTATTCCATAAATCAGATTGTATTATTATTATTATTAATAGGTTAATAATTTTAGTATTTATGATTATCGTATCTATTTTATAAATTATAACGTCTTGCCTCAGCTACTCAAAAATATTTAAAAATTATCCAAATTTTGTTATAAGATATATTTGACAAATTAATTTACCTTAAAAGAGCTATTTGATGATTCACTTAGTCAATGAAAAATCAGTACGGTGCAAAAATAATTTTAAATTAATTTGTCCTAAGCTCGTAATATATATCATCATGGTAGAATAAGTGGGAGACTGCGGCATGGTGATTCTTGATGGTAATGGGAATTGATTTTTGGGCAGCAAAAATGGGGAGCCTTTATTCTAACGCTTAAGTAGGGCGAAAGTTTCCTAAAATAATAATATTAAGTGTTGAATAAACATGTTGATATCGACTATCAAGTTATCTTTTTTTGGTTACAGTCTTACAGATATCAATTTATCTTCACCCTATTAATAGTCAAGTCTCTAAATAACACTATGTTTGAAATCTTTGAAATAGATAAAAATAAATAAATAAAAATAGAAGAGAGTGAAGTAAATGTAGTGAAAATTCACTCTAACTGCTCAACAACTTGCTTTGAGCGAGTTTAGGCAGAGATTACACTTGGGAGATGCAACTAGATCGCACAAGTAAATGGGTACTCACTTTGAGCAAGGGAAATTCACTTAGAAGGACCAAATAAACTCTTCGAGTCAAGTCATAGACTACCTTTGAAATGATCAAACAAGTTCGCTTGAGCAAGTCACATTGACATTGTGAGCGAGTATAGCTAAACATAAACACGTACTTCATACAAAACACACCTTGAGAACATGATTCATAGACTTAACACAACTCAACTTTTCTCAACAATTTCAATCATCAAACCATACAATCTCAACAACATACAATCACAACATGATCTAAGATTATTGATTCTCCTCCAGAACAACCAAAACCTAAGCAACAAGGTTTTTACTTCTCAATCCAACACTAAAGCCACCAATGGGCAAATCAACACATAAGATATTACTATAATTAAAAAATGAAATAAATGATAATTCACAACACAATGTTAGTTGTTAAATTATTTTAATTAGATATTTATGATGTTTTGGTATTTTAGAATAGGAAGAAAGAGAAAGAGAAAGATGTTTATTTAACTTTTATAAAATAAAAATAAAAGAATAGAATTTTGAGAATAAAAATGAGTGTATTGATTAAATAAGACGATAAGATGCAAGAGATGAAAAGAAATGGTAATGAAGGTATATGATAGTGATAATTTGGTAGCGTTCACATGATGATGGATGGAGAAAATGATTGATTCCATTAATGGGTTAAAAATGGGATTGATATGCATGTGATGGTGGATGTAAAAATGGGGGGCAGGGACCACGTCCATTTGAGCTTGTGAAGATAAGATTTCCACGCGGGAAAACAAGAGAGGCAATAAATTACGTATAAAATTGGCAACTTATGCGTAATGCCATGTCCATGTCGCATGCCTTGCCACCAAGACTTAACTCTCACTACTCATTTTTAATTACAACATTAATCTTCTAATAGTAAAACTATTAATATTTGTTTATCACTATTTCTGCCGGGACAAAGATTCCTTCCCTCCTTCTTGCTTTCCACCTTTCTCTTTCTCTCCATTTTCTCGTATCGCCCCCCCAACCAATATTACTTTTCTTTTCTTTTTTCCTAATTAATATACTTTTTGCATTTCCCTCAAATATCATATATCACTACTACTCCTCAATCTACATCACTAGCTAACCCTTTTGCAACAATCAATTTATTCACCATATTATTATAGTATAATTATAATACACCAACATCAAATTTGTTTTTCTCATATGTAAGAAAATAAAATAAAAAAGGGTCATAAATTAACATTAGTCCTTGATGGGAAATTTAATTCATGTTTTAAATGGCAGCACATGCCACATTATGGTCTGGCCTCTCCTTGCTACGTATTAATTTCATACAGTGTGTATATGACGCCATGGAGAAAAGAAAAACGCAGAATAAAAGATATTCATGATGCCGAAACAGCACATAGAGATCATATTATCCAATTCCGATTTTTATATATTATCGTGTATTACTTTAGTTATACATATTATTTTTTTTTTCTTAAACAAGATTGAAAGTTTGAATTCTGCCTTGTATATACAGTCGCATTAAATTTTGGGACCAGTTATCCTATTTTTTGAGGCGCCTCCAATGTAATGAGGGGATTAGTACCTCCAACGTAATGAGAAAATTAGTCACTGTTATCAGCGGTCGATACTCTAGGAGCGAACCTAAAAAAAAAGAAAACATATTATTTTTTAATGTTAAACTTATAAGTAATATTTTGTATGTTGGATGCGATGCGTGTAGAAAACGTGACAGCCATGAAGGGTTGTTATTTGGCGCAAGGAGGAGAATAAATGTACTGAAACCCATTCCCTTTTGTAGTCCAAGGATCCAATAATCGAGTACGATGTGCCATGCTTCATAGTGTGGATGAAGATTTTTACGTTTTATTTTTTTAATGTTTCAAGTGATTTTTTGAACCTTTTCCTCATGGAATAATGTATTAACATATTTTGAAATATTTAGATATTATTTTTGTTAAATAACTTTGGATGGATTCAGGGAGTGTTTGATATTGGAGAGTGGAGAGTGGAGAGTGGGTGAGAGAATGCATTATGCATGCATGAGGGGTGATGGTGGCTTGGCGGGTATTTATGAAAATGTTTTTAGAAGCATGGGGAGTGTTGTATTTATGTAATGAAAAAGGCATCCCCATATAGAAAGAAAATCAGAATAGACTTAGAGAGTTGAAGTGTGTAGGGAAGCATTTAATAAGGTGGAATTGGAGAGTGAGGTCCATACTTGCACGAGATAATGGAAGAGATGAGATAAATGGAGTGAGAGACACCTAAAAAAAGAAAATAAAAAAGAAAAGAAAATGTTGGGTTGGATGTACTAAAACTAAAAGAGGAAAAAGTGGTTAAGATGCGCCGGGGTGTGTGTGAAGTGTGAAATGTGAAATGTGAAATGTGAAATGTGAAATGCGCACATTTGCATTTGCATCCAATTCAATTCCAATCGCATCCATCCATCAAGGCCTGCCCGTTAATAGCACGACAATGCCATTTCCCAATAAAAACAGAACAACTTTCCCACTCCCACCACACACGCCGTTACAGGCCAATCCAATCACTCTTCGACAGCGCGTTAACGCCGTCTCTCTCCCCACCCTACTCTTACCGCCAACTGCCCGTTCCCCTTCCCCTCTCTCACACATTGGTTAAGGGATTGACCGCGGTTTAAATTATTGCACGCTCTTTTGACCACTCTGGTTAAGTCTCACCCTCTCACAACCCAAAACCACACACACCCTTCTTCTTCTTCTTCTTCTTCTTCTTCTATTGCGCCTGCCACAACGAATCAATTATTCGCTTGCCACTTCTTTTCTCACTTCCGAGCTTCGAGGTTAGGTCGTTCGCGTCAATTCCAGACTTTCTGTGTTTGAAGCCGTTGTGGAATTCCGCCAGGGGCTTTGCGGATGAGAGATCTGTGGTGAGGTCTGTGAAAATGGCATCATCGGAGGTCACCATGAAGGGAAATTGCATCAGCCATAACGACGGAGGAACTGCCGAGCCTCATTCGCCCAAAGGTACCTAACTACCTCACTCTACCTTCCTTCGTTTTGTCGCGCGTTTCGGAATTCTGAATTTGAATCGTTTTTTTGTTTGGTAGACGCCGAAGCAGCACTTTTCAGGGAACTGTGGCACGCCTGCGCCGGTCCTCTCGTCACGGTGCCGCGGGAGAGAGAGCGCGTCTTTTATTTTCCTCAGGGGCATATTGAGCAGGTAAATTAATTAATTAATTAATTAATTAATTAATTAATTTCATTCCTTCTTCAAACTCCTTTTCATTTAATTATGTTGGAGAATATAGTTTCCTTTTGGAGTCAGAGCTCAGATTTGCGACGAGCTTCGTTTCTTGCTATTTTTGGGAGTGAATTTGTGTTGTTGTTTGTGGATGGATTGGAGTGAGTGAGATGTGTTGGTTTCTTTTTTGGGGGTTTCTCGTTTACATTGTGTGATGAAATAGGTGGAGGCGTCGACGAATCAAGTGGCGGACCAGCACATGCCGGTTTACGATCTTCCGCCCAAGATCCTTTGTCGGGTCATCAACGTGCAGCTCAAGGTAGTGTTGTTCGATCTGTCTCACTTTTTCGTTATTAAAAATTCCCATGCTTTCGAACAAAGCAATCCTCAAAAAGAGAATGGTTGTTGCAGGCCGAACCCGACACGGATGAGGTGTTTGCTCAGGTCACTTTGCTTCCGGAGCCAAATGTGAGTTCCCTTTGCTTGTTTTTGGGAGAGAGTAATAGGGTGAAAACGTCATATTTATGCTTTTTTTTTTATTCTTGTTTATTTAATGCGCGTAGCAAGATGAGAATGCCGTGGAGAAAGAGCCTCCGCCTCCTCCGCCGCCGCGGTTTCATGTTCATTCTTTCTGTAAGACTCTGACGGCGTCTGATACGAGTACCCATGGTGGGTTTTCCGTGCTGAGACGGCATGCTGATGAGTGTCTTCCTCCCCTGGTTTGGTTTCTTGCCCTTTTCTCTTCTCTATTTAGTTTCGGTGTCTCGTTATGGCTGGCTGACGTTGGATGTATCGCGTGCTTGTTTACAGGATATGTCCAAGCAGCCACCCACCCAGGAATTGGTGGCTAAGGATCTTCATGGGAATGAATGGCGATTTAAACATATTTTTCGGGGTAATTACTTACTCATCGTTCTAGTGTTGTCATATTCTAGTGTGTCGTGTGTCGATTGTGACTGATGAGTCGAGTGAATTTCAGGTCAACCCCGAAGACACTTGCTTCAGAGTGGTTGGAGTGTTTTTGTCAGCTCCAAAAGGCTTGTTGCGGGGGATGCGTTTATTTTTCTTAGGTTTGTTATACCGTGAATTAGGGTTTTAGATTGCACTGATCGTTACTTTTGGAATGGGACTAATTCAGGGATTTGCAGAGGTGAGAATGGGGAACTTCGTGTTGGTGTCCGAAGAGCAATGAGACAGCAGGGTAATGTTCCATCGTCAGTTATCTCCAGCCACAGCATGCACCTCGGGGTCCTTGCAACCGCTTGGCATGCCATCTTGACGGGGACCATTTTCACTGTTTACTACAAGCCCAGGTCTGTAAACTCTTATCCTGTGTCACCTGTGGACGAACACATGTTGATGGTTTCTTGGTAGTATTCGATCCATTCCCTAGCAGCAGGATTAACAGCACTTGCCGTCATTATTATTTTGCAGGACCAGTCCCGCTGAATTTATTGTTCCGTATGATCAATACATGGAGTCTCTCAAAAATAATTATAGCATTGGGATGCGGTTCAAAATGAGGTTTGAAGGTGAAGAGGCCCCAGAGCAGAGGTATGGGCGATGAAAGTTGTCTTCATCTATGATTGACTTGTCATCGTATACGCTGTTTTTTCTTTCGCCTCCTACTGTCAAATATAATGTGATCCTGCCGTGCTTTATTATTAATGATTATCCATTTCAATTTTAATTGGAAAAATTGCTTGATATGGCTTGTTAAACTGCAGGTTTACTGGTACGATTGTTGGAATAGAAGATTCTGATCCCAAAAGATGGAGAGATTCCAAATGGAGATGCCTCAAGGTTTTATCTCTACTCTTTATGCTACATTTTTTGTCTTGTTATGCAATGAATGTTAAAATGGTGTTATTCTTGTCGTTCAGGTGAGATGGGATGAAACATCTAACACGCCTCGTCCCGATAGAGTTTCCCCGTGGAAAATTGAACCAGCTCTTGCTCCTCCAGCTCTGAATCCTCTTTCAATGCCCAGGCCCAAAAGGCCTCGGGGTAATGCAGTTCCTTCATCCCCAGATTCTTCTGTTCTTACTCGAGAAGGTATGATTATTTGGCTCTGGATATTTGATGTTTTACAAGAAGCCTCTCTTTTAAAAATTATTTGTGGTTGAGGCCTAATATTTTTTGGTGGTTAACAGCAACATCTAAAGTAAGCATAGACCCTTCACCAACAAATGGGTTTCCAAGGGTCTTGCAAGGTCAAGAATTCTCGACCTTGAGAGGCAATTTTGCAGAAAGCAATGAGTCTGATACTGCTGAGAAGTCAGTTGTTTGGCCACCTACAGTAGATGATGAAAAGATCGATGTTGTTTCTACTACTTCAAGAAGGTATGGTTCAGAGAGCTGGATGTCAATGGGGAGGAATGAGCCTACATATTCTGATCTTCTTTCAAGCTTTGGGGCTAGTGGGGATCAAATGAGCCCTGTAGCTTATACAGCTAGAAAGCAATCATTGGATCATGAAGGCAAACTTCATGTGCCTCATCCGTGGCCTGTAATGCCCTCTAATCTGTCACTGAACATCTTGGACTCTAATACAAAAGGTCCTGCACATGGTGGTGATACAACTTACCAAGCTCGAGGGAATTTGAGGTACAGTGCATTTGGTGAATACGCTGCACTGCATAGTCATAAAGTTGAGCATTCACATGGAAACCTGATGCCACCCCCACCCGCACCCGTAACTCAATATCAGAGTCCTTGTTCTAGAGAGCTTATGTCAAAACCAGTGTCAGCAAAAGCTTATGATGCTACGAAACCAAAAGATGGTGACTGTAAGCTATTTGGTATCTCACTTATCAGTGGCCCCGCTGTATCAGAGCCTTCTGTATCACAAAGAAATGTGAGCGAGCCTGCTGATCAGATGCATCTGACACCACACCAACAAAGAACATCTGAAAATGATCAGAAGTCAGACCACTCAAAGGGCTCAAGACCTGCCGAGGATCTAGAGACTTCTCAGGTGCATATGAAAGATGTTCAAGCTAAACCTCTCGGTGGTTCCGCTAGGAGTTGCACTAAAGTAAGGTCCTTTACTGTTTGTTTTGAAAAATGAAAGCTAGAAGTTTATCGGGAAAATTAACCACATGCTATTTGTTTTAGGTTCACAAGAAGGGCATTGCACTTGGTAGGTCAGTGGACCTCACAAAGTACAGCGGCTATGATGAATTAGTTGCTGAATTGGACCAGCTGTTTGATTTTGGGGGTGAATTATTGTCTACTAAAAAGGATTGGCTTATTGTTTATACTGATAATGAAGGTGATATGATGCTTGTAGGCGACGATCCATGGCAGTAAGGATCTGTGTTATGATTATACATCCTTGGTTAACTTACTATTTGAATATTTAATTTTTCCTCGAAAAATGGGACATAATTTAATATAATTCTAATTTCCAATTCAGGGAATTCTGTGCCATGGTTCGCAAAATTTATATCTACCCTAAAGAGGAGATTCAGAAAATGAGCCCGGGTACCTTGAGTTCAAGAAATGAAGACAGCCAGCCGGCTACGGCTAGTGAAGGTGCAGATGCTAAAGATGTTAAATATCAGCAGCATCAAAAGTTCAATTCAGAAAATGGCCTTGACGCTTAATGATTAGTAGATTGATTTCCATAGTTTTCGGGTAACTTTCTGTCCTCATGAAATTGCCCCACATACATGAATTTTGAATCTAGCTCTGTTTATTAGAGGAGTTTCATGGTGTAACGTTTTGTTTTGAACCAGATTCCGGGCTGGAAAGTAGGGAGCTATGATGAAGCCATCCAGTTGAAGAACATAACTTGAAGACAGGCTGACTGCTTGGAATCAATCAATATATAGATGGCATGAAAGAGTATCCGTCCAATTTTGGAAATCCCGGAATTAGTAGTATTTGCTTGCCCAGTTATACACTCCTAGTCCTAGTATTGTATTCAATTGTGTTTTGAGCGAGGTGATATGGGGTGATATCTGCCTTGCGTTTTTTAAACAATCCCACCTTGTAGTTGTAGTTGTACATAGTTCTTTCTCTCCCATCCTCTGAACAACAACCCGTTAATGTAATGAAAATTTCGTATACGAGGGCGGTCTTATGGTTGGTATCCACTTTATTTGATTCTTATTAATCATAATTTGTGAAATGAAAATTGTGGATACTCTAATCTGCATCATGTATAATTAAATTTTGTTCATTTACTCTTGGTGTTTGCCAAGTGAGGTCACTTGAAGAAATGTTTGTGATTATTAATTCTTGGGATGACCACTAGTTGTGGTGGTCAGCGCTTAACTGAATACTTGAGGTTACGCGATAAAGCCGTCTTCTAGGAAGCACCGTCTTCAAGGTCAATTAGCTTTTTTCTTCTTTTGTTAATATAGGTCAATTAGTATCTAAAAAAGACGCATAACTAGTGGAACTCGTTTTCAGCGTCGGTGCTTTAGCAACCGTCCTTATTAGACCCAAGGATTCCATTCATCATTTATAATTTTAAATTCAAAAGGAGACTCCACTAGTGGGATTGTCAGCCAAAACCTCTAATTTACCAATTTTGCTGTAGATGCACCATACTCCTAACTCCTTCATTTCAGTTTCTCCACTACTTTTTGATTTTAAAGGGGATATATAACAAGTGTGTGAAGACCATGCTTCATCGGGGGAAAGAACACGAAAAAAGAAAGTTGCTTTAAAGTTGTCCTTGTTGAAATCTGTACAAAGAGGACAATAGGTTGGACAAACATAAATACATGGAAAAAACAATAACCTGCGCGAACGAGGAATTCCTCATTTATAAGTAGAAGAACTAAATATTATCTTTTAATATCCATTATATTATTTGCTTGTTTAAATATATTGTTAAGTGTGTAGTCTAAGTTCTAAAATTGAAGTAGTCCCACATTGTTTAGTTTAACTTACTTATTAAGTCCCACATCACTTAGTTTGTAATGCTTGCCTCTTCCTTATGCTATATATATAGAGGCACCTTGTAAGGTTTAAGACACACCAAAAACAAATACTCTTAGTATTGTTTATTTCTCTCTTCTATCCTTTTATTCTCTCTTTTAATGCCAGTTGCCTAACAACTGGTATCAGAGCTCTAGGTTCGGGAGAGTATTCTTAGTATGCTCTGTGGTTGCAGTTTTATCTGATCTTCCACAACAGAAAAGAATAATCTTCAGTTTAGAGAGTGAGAGGAGAGTATTCTTAGTATGCTCTGTGGTTGCAGTTTTATCTGATCTTCCACAACAGAAAAGAATAATCTTCAGTTTAGAGAGTGAGAGCTTTTCTCAGAATTCCTCAGTTTAAGAGGAGAGAGTCTCAGTTTAGAGAGCAAGAGCTTTTCTCAGCAGCAGAGCAATGGCATTAGAAGAAGGGAAGGTGAAGATAGAGAAGTTTGATGGTAAAGACTTCGGCTTCTGGAAGATGCAGATAGAGGATTATCTGTATCAAAAGAAGTTATATCAACCCTTAATAGGGGAGAAGCCAGACGATATGAAACAGGAAGAGTGGAACTTGCTAGATCGACAGGCTCTTGGCGTGATCAGGCTGACATTGGCCAAGAATGTCGCGTTCAACATCGTCAATGAAAAGACAACTGCAAGTCTGATGAAGACACTATCAGACATGTATGAGAAACCATCTGCAGCCAACAAAGTACACATAATGCGTCGGTTGTTCAACCTTAAGATGGGAGAAGGTAACCTTGTGATTAATCATATTAATGATTTTAACACTATTCTTGCTATGTTAGAGTCAGTACAAATCAAATTTGAAGATGAGGTGAAGGCATTGATACTATTGTCATCATTACCGGAAAGTTGGGCTGCAACTGTTACTGCAGTCAGCAGTTCTGCAAGGGATAACAAGTTGAAGCTCAACGACATTCGCGACCTGATCTTGAGCGAAGATGTTCGCAGGAGAGATTCCGAGGAACCTTCCAGTTCTACTTCGTGTTCGGCCAAGCTTTTGGCCGAAGGGGGTGTTCGGTTGGTTGTATGACCGAAGAGGTGTTCGGCCAAGCTTTTGGCCGAAAGGGGGGCGTTCGGTCTTCCTCCAAGTTGTGTGGTGGTGGCTCGGTCAGGCTCGAGGCCGAAGAGGTCTTCGGTAATGAGTGAAGTCGAAAGGGTCTTCGGTCATGGATGAAGCCGAAGGGGTTCGTGGGGGGTACTCGGCCTAAGGGGGTATTCGGCCCATTTGTTGGCTTAATGGTTTATTCGACCCGAGGGGGTATTCGGTCTATTCACCGGCCTGAGGGGGGTACTCGGCCCATTATCCTGATGGGTACTCGGCCTAAGGAGGTGTGTTTAGTGTTGACTTTGAGCGGTGGTGTGTAGTCCCAGTACACTGCCCCCCCAAGCCCGAGGATGAAAGACAAAGGGGTTTGTGAGTGAACATGCAATTGGTTTAAGGCTTCCGTACGTGTCTAGGGAGTCGTATCTGTCCATGACTATGACCGTTGCATGCTTAGCCGATTAGTAAGTCTTCGGCCTAAGGGGGTGCTCGGCCTGAGGTTGGATCCAGCTTGAGGGGGTACTCGGCTTGAGGGGGGTACTCGGCCCATTATCCTGATGGGTACTCGGCCTAAGGAGGTGTGTTTAGTGTTGACTTTGAGCGGTGGTGTGTAGTCCCAGTACACTGCCCCCCCAAGCCCGAGGATGAAAGACAAAGGGGTTTGTGAGTGAACATGCAAGTAAGTTTTCATAAAAATACTGTCACTCGTTTAATATAATAATTTAAATTTAAATTTATAATACAGTAGTGAATTTATAATACTTATGAACAATTGATATCATTATGAATATATTTAAATATATATTTAAAAATTCTTAAAAAAATCTTCTAAATTAATTTGTTTGCAAATAGACTCTATGATTGGAATACTTGAAATAATATAAAAAATAAGGACAAAATATTTGAAAATAGATGACAAAATAAACAAATTTGAAAAGATTCCAATAGTAAGAAGATGTTTTATCTAAAGAGGTAATAAGAGGTTTTTCAAAGAAATTGTGCGAGTGAAATTTATGAAAATAAAAATAGAAAATTTAAAATAATAAAAAAAATCATTTAAATTAATATAAATTTTATAATAGGATAAAATTATGAAAAAAAATAAAAATATCTAAAAAAATAGATGAGGCAAAGCATTATTACTTATATATAATAATATATAAAGAGATATCTTCAATTTATTTAGATTTCTTTCTAAAAATAATAATGTCCTCAATTAATTATAGATACGTAATCATTCAAAAATATAATCATTCAAGATGAAGCCGTAACCACTATTTTTTATTTTTATTTATCACCTAATTACAAAGTGAAATTAAGATGTATTTCTCTTAATTTTAACTTCCATTTATTTAATTTTTTTTAAAACAAATATGCAGAGGAACCAAGTTTTGTACCTCTTCTCCACTAATGTTAATAAAATGGATAAGTAAAAAATTTAATTAAAGATTAACTTATCATTTAAAATTTAACATTATTCAGAGAATAAGCCCGAAATTGGAAAAAACAATAACCTGCGCGAACGAGGAATTCCTCATTTATAAGTAGAAGAACTAAATATTATCTTTTAATATCCATTATATTATTTGCTTGTTTAAATATATTGTTAAGTGTGTAGTCTAAGTTCTAAAATTGAAGTAGTCCCCAAGGAAGGAGCGACAGGAGGAGTGTTCTATGCAGGAACATCACGCATATACAAAAAAAAATGCAAAATACAAACATAAATGAAAATTTCCAAATTCATAATTCAATTGGTAGAAACATTCTATTTTGCATATAAACATCAACAAAAGAGAAATGATACATATAAAATAGATTATACAACAAGAGAGATTTTTTTAATAAATATAATGAATATTATGATAAAGAGAGATAATCATTAAAAATAAATAATTCCGTACATATTATAAGTTTATCGATAGTCATTCCTAAAAAAATCCCTCATTTGATATTATTCCAAAACATGCTTTTGTGAAAAAAAATAATTCATAAAAATACTGTCACTCGTTTAATATAATAATTTAAATTTAAATTTATAATACAGTAGTGAATTTATAATACTTATGAACAATTGATATCATTATGAATATATTTAAATATATATTTAAAAATTCTTAAAAAAATCTTCTAAATTAATTTGTTTGCAAATAGACTCTATGATTGGAATACTTGAAATAATATAAAAAATAAGGACAAAATATTTGAAAATAGATGACAAAATAAACAAATTTGAAAAGATTCCAATAGTAAGAAGATGTTTTATCTAAAGAGGTAATAAGAGGTTTTTCAAAGAAATTGTGCGAGTGAAATTTATGAAAATAAAAATAGAAAATTTAAAATAATAAAAAAAATCATTTAAATTAATATAAATTTTATAATAGGATAAAATTATGAAAAAAAATAAAAATATCTAAAAAAATAGATGAGGCAAAGCATTATTACTTATATATAATAATATATAAAGAGATATCTTCAATTTATTTAGATTTCTTTCTAAAAATAATAATGTCCTCAATTAATTATAGATACGTAATCATTCAAAAATATAATCATTCAAGATGAAGCCGTAACCACTATTTTTTATTTTTATTTATCACCTAATTACAAAGTGAAATTAAGATGTATTTCTCTTAATTTTAACTTCCATTTATTTAATTTTTTTTAAAACAAATATGCAGAGGAACCAAGTTTTGTACCTCTTCTCCACTAATGTTAATAAAATGGATAAGTAAAAAATTTAATTAAAGATTAACTTATCATTTAAAATTTAACATTATTCAGAGAATAAGCCCGAAATTGGAAAAAACAATAACCTGCGCGAACGAGGAATTCCTCATTTATAAGTAGAAGAACTAAATATTATCTTTTAATATCCATTATATTATTTGCTTGTTTAAATATTATTGTTAAGTGTGTAGTCTAAGTTCTAAAATTGAAGTAGTCCCACATTGTTTAGTTTAACTTACTTATTAAGTCCCACATCACTTAGTTTGTAATGCTTGCCTCTTCCTTATGCTATATATATAGAGGCACCTTGTAAGGTTTAAGACACACCAAAAACAAATACTCTTAGTATTGTTTATTTCTCTCTTCTATCCTTTTATTCTCTCTTTTAATGCCAGTTGCCTAGCAACTGGTATCAAAGCTCTAGGTTTGGGAGAGTATTCTTAGTATGCTCTGTGGTTGCAGT